GGAGGACAGAGCACAAAACAGATTCAGGGACTCTGATGACAAAGCAAGAGGCATCTCTACAACCAGATTAAAGAAAAAGAAAAAAAAACCCAGCAGATAGAGCCTAGAATTAAAATCAAAAGCTCTTTGGCCCAATCTTTTTTTTTTTTTTTCTTTGGGGAAAAAGAAGTGCTTCTTGTACATCAAAGATTTGCCCATAAGAATCGTTTCATGCAGCACCACCCCTCCACCCCCATGTTTTTTTCAGCACTTTCTAGTACCAACTAGTAATTGAGTCAAAAGGGAGGAAAAAAAAAATTATCTGGGAAGTTAATTATTTAGTAGACTATTTTACAGACTTGGTCATTTTTCACTGGCTCCACACAGTAGAAACTGCAATGAGAGATACATTTTTCTTCCCTGTAATTAATTTACTCAATAAGTTAAAGAAAGTTACTTGGGAATTTTTGTGTTGAATTTCTAAATTTCTGATAAGGCAGTTGCTGCTATCAAGAGAATTAGCTCTAACACTGCTGATATTCTCCGGGCTTCCAGCCAAATGAATGTTTCTATGTTACTGTAACAAGGCAGTACAAGCAAAGCAGCCTCAGAGATACAGGGCTGGCTTGAAGAAGAACCAGATACTATTTCCAGGTCTGGCAGGTAACACAAGGCAAGCCACTTCTACCTCCCCTGCTATTGGCATGGGATAATCCTGAAGGGCAGGGTTTTTTCCACACCCAATGTATGGACAGCATTTCTCATACAGGGCCTCCTTGGCGAGCTGATGCCCATGCACTGAGAACAACAGTATTAGCTGTTGTCTATTCTGTGGCAGAGTATCATTCCCTAATCTGGCTGAATAGTGCTCACACTGATAAGGTTGATATACAACTCAACCAAGTAATGTGAATCATCACAGGAACAATCCTATCCATCCCTCTTCGATGGCTCCCTATTCTTAGTAACATGCATCCTCCCCAATTAAAGAAGAAAAAAAATGTCTTATGTTAAAAAAACCCTGCAGCTGCCTATACACAAAGCTCTCTTAACCTTATGTTAAAAAAAACCTGCAGCTGCCTATACACAAAGCTCTCTTAAACCCATCATGTCCGAGATTAAAATCTAGACCTTCCTTTTGGAGAATAGCAATTGGATTTGAGGAAGACTCATTTAATATCCAAGATGCCTGGATGCATGAGTGGCTCAATTCACCCCCTAATACAAAGATCATCATCATCATCATCAATCCCACCATTAGACCAGCTGGCTTTGACATCTCCCTAGTTACCTTTGGTCTAAACCAAATCATGACAGGACATGGTAGATGTGGATTTCTGGTACATCTATAGCATGAAATAGCTCAGACTCCATCTGTTGTGCCCCTTTTCAAGCTCCAAAGTATATTGTCTCCCAATTCCCTCTTCATGCATTTAGTGCAACTCTATTGGATCTGCACAATACTATACCTGAGGCAATCAGCTGGCTGCAAAATTTGGACATAAAAATTGTGAGCGTTTCTCCTTGCTCTGTGATCACTGTTTAATCATATGCCAACTAAAAACCACACAGGGTTACAGTTTTAGTAGGAGCTCATTTGATTTATATTTTGCACTTCCCAAAGGTTTAGAGTGAAACAAGGACTAAAATAAGGCAGATAAAAATAGAAGTAATATTAAGCAAAGATCTTCAATTAATACCCCAACTGAACCTCATTTACTAAAAAGGAGTCCCTAAAGGTCTGTGACATTAAAACCAATGTGTGCCCCAACTCACATCTTGATATTACTTTAGTGCATATATGATCAGGTATCCCATACCGTTTCAGCAGCTGGGCCAACAGCCTGCTACTGCTACCAGCTACTAGAATTGCACCTTAACCCAAGTGGCAGACAGTTGCACTGTGGTACCAAGCCCCATCGTGCAAGTTGCTAAACACTGCATGCACCTAGACTCGTATGGAGCCTATACTATAACGCTGATCTCTTCAAAACCTAGCTGTGCTTGCTGGGAGTTCAAGCTAGACCCATTACGCTACTCTTTGTGGCTTTGTCCCTGCAGCCTGGAAGCCTCCTGACACACTGGTCTAATCCTCAGAAGTTCATTTACTTTAAAGACACAGCTAAACTTTATATTGGGCCACCACCCAGCTCAAGATAGCAGGAAGCATCCCCCAGCCAAAGCAAACTCAAGATTAAAGGGTCTCTCTCCAGCGTCATTAAGGACAAAGTTGAATTCTCAAAATTTCCCTGGACTAATTAAAAAAAAAAAAGTGAGGTCTATAGAAGGGTATGTTTTTGATGCAAGCTCTCCTTTGAGATTTGCTAGAAGTAAAATGGAGACAAGAGCAGCATTTCAAACCACAAGCAGGGGTTTCTCTCTGAAGCTACACCACCCAAAAGGGAGCAGCTGGACCATTCAACCTGCCCAGCTCCATGCCTGGAGCAGGAGGCATGACAGTTGTGTGACCAGCATGTACAGCACTGCTGTTTGAGGGCCCATGTAATCCAGGCAAGAATAGCACAAGTTCACGCCGTTTCCAGTCTCAAAGGCACCAGAGGAAACAGGCAACAAAGTGGCAAAGAGCCACTGCAAGTGCCAGACCCACCTGGGCAGCAGGTACAACCAGACTGCCTCCACTAGCAAGCACAGGGCCATAATTAGAAACCCGGATGAATAAACAGATGCCAGAGCCTTGCTCTCACCACAGCAGGAGCCTGTGCTTAGTCTCCCTTTCCCACACTCCCTGCAAGAGGACCCCCAGCTTGACACACAGCAAGCCAGCAGCGCTACAATGCCTCTTGGCTCAACACAAGGACCCCGTGTGGTCTGTACATTGTGAGAGATTGACCCCGGCCTGCGCTTGCAACTACCTCACCGCAATGCAATTATATTTCCCCACCTAATCCAGCAACCAAGCTGTTCCCAGGAAACAGTGTACTATTTGAGGGAGATGCAAGTGCTGCTATTACAACAACGCTGGACAAACATGCCATGTTTGAAGTGCCTTGCTTTCTTCCCTTGGTTCACAACAAGCTTCTCTCCATCACCTAACATGTACATACACAGATGTGTGAAAGATCCTCACAGATTTGGTATCTGGCAAATCCCCCTATGCTGCAGTGTGTACCAAACATAAGCACAGGGAGAGGGAGAGTAAGTGGTCTGCATTGCAGATGCTTTACTAGCTGCAGGAAACAAAATGCTTTCCTCCTCCATTCACAGGCTCCCCATCTCTCACCACTGTTGCACCCCAGGAGACAATCATATGAAACATGTGCTAATAAGGCACTCACAAGCCCAGATGCAGACCAGGTGTGGAAACTGCAATCCCACAAACAGTCACTGGGGCTTCACTAACTTGGCTCTGCAGGAGCCTAACTCCAGAGTTCAGGAAGCCAAGTGGAAAGATACCTTTGGACTGAAATCCTACCCAAAACCCACCAATCTCTTTCCAATATGTAAACTAAGCACTGACACCCCACCCACCTCCAAATTGCAGATATACAAGTTACTGGAGCAGGCATACCATGGTGAAAAGAAACCCTGCCAGCATCTCAGATAGGAGGCCAGTCCCCATGTATATACCCCCCCCCCCGCATGACATGCGGGCAGAAGTACCAGAAGACTGAAGGAAATAGCCTGTGGGACAGTAGTTCCAACCCATCCAAGTCACAAAAAAATAAAAAAATAAATAAATAAAAAAAATAAAAAGCAAAAAAAGCCTCTTCTCATGCAACTGGCACCCTGACCACTTTCTGAAAGGATTATGTGGAGCATCTGAATTTAAGTACCAAATCATTAGGTAGAACCATTGCTGCTCACCAAGTTCCACAGAATCCCAGCCTACAGCAGTCAGGCCTTATCAGGGCACAAGAGACATCAGTTCAACTAAAGACAGTTAAGGGAAAAATAGATTTAGTGATATGGGCACAGCTCTTCTAGGTGTATACATTTATTTTAATGCAATCTTATGCCTAGAAGCTTAAAAAGACCAGCCACATCAATCGAGTGGCCAAAGCAACTTGAAAGTACTTTCACAAAAGGTTGTACCAATTTAGCCAAGCCATTTCAGTTAAGTGCGCACAACAAATTAACCCACATCCAACCCCCAAATTGCGTTCAGCATCCAGTTTATGTTGGGACTAGAACATGAACACTTAAATTCCCAGCTTATACCTCCTAGATCCAACCCTAGTGGTTTCCATAAGAACCTAAAGCCTCAACTTGATCCTCTGAGACCTCACCAAATTAAAACAAAATCAATAAATAAAACACCTTTAATGTTTGCTGACTTTTGGGGACCTGGAAAGCCTTAAGACCCTCTGTTCAACACAAGTTAAGAATAAGGGTACATATGAAGAAAGTTGTTAGAGAATTCAAAAGAGTAAGAGTATCCATTGAGCTCTCCCTAGTGGAGTGGTTTTACTTCTCCAAGAGCATTTCCCAATACAAGCAACCCAACCATGCAGTCTCCAGCAGGATCTAAGGAATCCCTTTCTACGCGTGTTTGAGTAATTGGGAAGGAAAAAGCCAGGAGCAAAGAACAGGAAAAAAATACACACACTCTACAGAAATGGAAGGAAGCTGTGGAAAGCTTAAGGCAGGAATTGCCTTGGTAGAAACAACATTAGAAGAAATTTGGGGCCCAGAAGAGCTAGGCTTGATATCTAACTCACCACACACAGTGTGCAACTCAAGACTGATCGTTTCAGGTATTTGGCTCTCCATCCATACCATCTGTGAAGAAAGCTTGTATTACTTCCCCCCCCACAGCTCCCTTTATCTAGCTATTTATATGCTATATCCATTTAGATGGTCATTTCCATGGGACAAGCACCATATCTTATCACATATGGGCATAGTAGACAGAAGAGTGGGGCTCTGTGCTCATCCAGGGTCAGTACCATCCAGCCATACCCAGCCACCACAACACAAAGGAAGAAGGAAAGGAGCAACTCATTAAAGTGTACCACTCATTAACCAACCCTCAAGCCCCCTGTCTCCATTATTTCTCTTACCTTTCAAACAAGTCCAGATCCCCCAAAAGCCAGGCTCCCTCCTGTATCCAGCTCTCCACTAGCTCATTGCCTGTTTTTACCCAAAGTGTTTGCTTTTCTCAGCACCCACTTTTAACAACACTGCCTCTTCCACAGCAGCCAGATAGATGGGCTCAAGCTGCCTTATATAGGTTTCTACCTCCCCCTCCCATCCCTTTGTAGCAGCTCCTGAACAGATTGGTCAATGGGGAGCACCTGTGCCCCTGCCATTTGACGGCTGCCTCCCTTTCATTTTCTTCCCCTGAGAAAACAAGTAAACTGATCTGAGTAATCTGAATAATCTCCCTGGCATAAAGGCAATGGGGAAGTCACAGGGCTGCAATGCAAGGTATCGCCTCATTAATGTGGAATTATGACCCTTCACTCTATGCAGTTGCTGGAGCCTTGTGCAAAAAGGCATCTTCCTTACAGATGGTAGTGAAGGGACTTCTCACCCCTTTTATAGTTCTTTTTCTACTGCAGCCTGTGTAGTCTCTTGTGGGAACCCCTTCCTGCTCACATGCACCCCTGCCTGTTGCACCCCTCCTCCTCCTCCTCCTCGCAATAAATCTGCTCCCAGAGTGGCCTCTGCTATAAATTCAGCTAGAAAATCTGGGCTCCTAAAGAGATAGCAACCCACAGAAGGATTTCCTCGATGTCTGAAGGATACTGCTCATGTCCCCTTGGCCATATCACATGATTTTCTTTTTTCTCTTGAGCCAGATCCATAAGGGGAGGTAGCTTCCTCCACCACCCTGTGATCCCTAGAAAGGAGCTGACTTGTTTCTTGGTTTAGGCTCCCAAGAAAGGCTTGATCTCTCTCTCTCTCTCTCTCTGAGCTTTCACAAGCCGTTCCCCACATGCATGCTCTAGCTGGCTGACTGCCTTTTGCGAATCAGGAATTGACCTGGGTTTATTGCTAATCCACCTTTTTGGTGGAACACCTCCTCTAAGTGCTACGGATATCCCTTCCAGTGGTATTCCAGGTAATCAACTGCAAGGGATTGCTGATGACTCGAGATAACCACAGCATCCAAGTATGCAGAGGTATTAATTTCCCTCAGACCCCTCTACAAGAACGCTGTGGCTATAATCCTAGATGGTCTGAATGGGAGGAGCGTGCCCTTTGGGGTCCACAATACTCAGTGCGCCTTTGCTTCTTGCAATAAAGAAATTGGCCAATTAACCTTTCTTCTAATGCAGGCTTCAGATCCATTCAGTGCACTAAATTCCCTGTGCACTCACAATGGCCCAAATAGGATTTGACAACCAACATTTCACCTCCGGGAGGATCAAGCTCCCCCATCCCCATCATTGTTTCCTAGCCTTCCTATAAACTGTGATCATAGCCAAGGAAGAAGGATATTCTCTTAAGACTCAAGCTTGCAATTCTTCCTTACACACTGAGCTCAGGTGCCCTCCATGCGAACTAAGTTCTTCCTCCTTCTTTGCAAAAGGATGGTTTGTTTTGGCATGGTCTGTATCCTCAGATGCTTTTTTCAAGGTTGATGCTGTTTAGAGCTCACCTTTGAGGCTATTCCCATTCCTGTAGCATATTTCTATGCCAGGAACTGAGGGATGCATCTAGTCCAGAAGAGGAGGAATGGTTGGGTTTACGTGCTGTCGTAGATGAGCTATGAATTAGACCCAGCAGGATGGGCCAAGGGCTATGGGTGATCAGCTATATAGAGTGCAGGGGCAAGACAAGGGCCCTCAAATGGTCCAGCTGTTTGGAAGAGTCAGTGGAGGGTCACATCAAATTGCTGCACAGCCCCCCAAAATAGCCAGAGAAGTAGAGGTATGAAATGCAAATGGGGGGGAGACCTGAATGTATCCTCTGATCCCAAGGGAGCTCTGTGTGAGATGACTGATTCCTTGCTCCCATGGGAGTTGTTTCCTGGGGAGGTTTATCTGATTCCCTAATTCAGCTTTGAGCAAGATACATACAAAGCAAACTCCACATTACAGGCATCTTCAACATCCCTTGCACTCAGCAGAACTCCTTGTCAGTGCTAATTCGCTGCCTCTCCAGTGCGGGAGTCCCTGGGAAATATCTGCTGGGATTCTTGGCCTAACTCATGTATTTTTTTTGGCTCCCTCTCTCTCTTTCAAGCCTCTCTGTCCAAACCAATTACTTGGCCTTCTCCCTTTGGCTTGTCCCCTGCCCGTGTTGAAAAGGCAGGGAGACAAACCCCAAAATGTCTGCAAGAAACACCTCTCACCAGACACGGAGCCATGACCTTTTGTGGTTACATGCAATTTCATTATTATTATTTTTCCCTTTCCCTTGATTTAATTCCTTGTTAATTTACTGTGGTAATTATATTAGGAAACTGTAATGCAGGACACGGGAGTCCCTTGAACGCTGCTAATTGCTGCTGGAACAATGCCATCCAAGGAGTTAATTGAGAAAAATGCAACAGCTCCTACCAACCACAGAAGAAAATGGGGCCTATTGGGAAAATGCATCTGAGAAGTTTCTGCAATTACCTACACAACAACTTGCACTGTGCCAGCTACAGCCCAGAACTCATTAGCTGTTTCCTTAATTGGATGGAGAGATTTTGGGGTACAGTCAGGATTCCCTGAGCACTGGTGTTTGGAGGTAGCGAAAATTAGGCACACAGCTATAACAACGCAGCGTTCCCCACCCGCGTGACATGATGTTTCCTCTTGCTTTTGAAACCCAAGCTTTGGGAGTCCCGTGGTTTACAGTAGAATTTCAATTTAAAATAACAAGTTATTTTCTACTAGAGCCAATTAAAAGCAATTTCTCAGAACAATGTCCCATTACAAAGAAACCCATCTTGCTGAAATCAAAGCATTTTACAAGAAAACATCAATTTTGGTGAAATTTTCAATGGGAGAAATTGTTTTGACCTACTAGTTTTGCTTTTGGACTATCTATTTCATTTCAGTAAATTAGAAAAAGTTCTGTTTTGACTTAATCACTTCAATTAATTCCCCTTTAACTCTTCTATTTTATTAAATCGTCAGTGGTAGCATAACATTTCATAGGATATTTGCATTTCATTTGTGCATATTATGGCACATATATATTGTATTTTTTACTTTTAATACAAAAGCCCAAAACACAATGAACAATCATATCCAAACAGCCTCTTTCCACCCTAATGTGCAACCACATTTTTTAATATCAAAATAAAATGATTTGATGGTCAAAAATGCATTTTTCCCAAATTTTCATTTTGCTGATCTTTAATTTTTTTTTTTTTTTTTTCCCAAAAAGAATTTTAAAATATTGGGAAAGTCTAAATTTCCCATGGAATGGGTGTGCGGTTTTCTATCCACCAGAGTTGTAGAGATCATTTGGAAAATGGGCCCGAACACTCAAAAGACAAAGTGTGTTTAAAAAATAATGGCTTGCTTTTTAAAAGTCGTGTGATTTTTTTGCATCAGTCTTGTGATGTAAAGGTCCAGATTCAAGATGCCTGGTCAAATGTGTCCATCAATTGACCTGCCTTTTGTCTTCTTGCACCTGTTTCAAGCAAGATAATTAACAATACTAGCTGGGCTCTGCTTTGAGCTCTGAACTGCTGCTTTTTCCAGTTCCTCTGGATAGGCTTTCATGACCCAGGACCCCTCCATCCCAGCCTGGGCCCAAGGCATGCAAGCAAGCCTCAACTAGCAGGACCTGAGCAGTTGTAGCATAGCAGCCACTTCATGGGTAGGCAAGGTGCCCACTGCCTATCACAGCTGGCTACCAAAAGCCAGGGATCCTGGATGGGAAGAGCACAGGTTAATATATCAGTCATAGCTGGAACAAGTGGGTAAGAGCCCTGGAAAGAGGAGAAAAAGCCTGGCTGAGTGTCCAGAGGTGAAATAAAGCTGATACCAGCCCAAGAGAAAGACCTGCCAAGTCCAACCAGGAGTAAAGCATACTGGGAAGCACTTCAGGCCTCCAAAGCTCAGCCCTCATGGAGGAGAGGATGGTCTTGCTAATAGAGGTCCTGTGTGCCAGCCAGGTCACCTGCATCCAGTTCCCAGCTCCATCACAGACTATACCCTTGGGACCTATGGCAAGTGGCATGGGATGCATCCACACTGCACTCCCAGTGTCCTGGGCCCACTCTGGCCGCTGCTCTCCAAAGCACACAGCATGCAACAGAGGTCTCAAGAACGGCCAGTTCCGGAGCAGCCTTAGGTTTGGCATGTACAAGCAGGAGCGAGCTCGGGAGCATGGTGGTGATGTGCTCTTAATCTCTCTGTGGCTAAACTCCCCATGTGCACAATGGGAGTAACTTCTTTCTCCCGCTGGTTGGAGGGCATTCACAGTACCATTTTGCACTAGTGCAGTGCCTAGCATGATGGGGTGTGGCAGAGGGCAGAGGCTGCAATAGAAATAATAGGAGCACAGGGGAAGGGCGTCACACCGTGACCCACATCGGTTCCACGTGCCCTACTCAGGAACTCATGCCACAGCCATCACCCCAGTACCTGGGCTAGCTAACATTGGGCCAGTAACAGCAAGTCTTTCTGTTTCTTTAAATCTCCAAAAGTTTTCCTTGCTCTTCTCCCTTTCTGCTTGCAGATGGCTGTGGCCGCGAGACAATTATCATAAGGGAGGCTGTTCAGTGCAATAGGCTATTTGATGAGGCTCTGTTTGTTCGCCGGGCACGCTGAAATCTTTGAATTTCATCGGCCTCTCGAGATTGTATCCATTCCCTTCCCCATTTGGAGAAGCAGCTGTTGTGCACGTGTATAATGGGCATGGTGATTTCTAACAAGCTCAGCCTTCTCGCAAAGCCTTGTCGCAATCCCCTACCTGAGCAAGCAAGAGCTGAATTTTTTCCCCCCTTAGTAAACAAAATGATCCACTTCTTCAGTTAACCCTTCCCTGGCTCCTCGTGAGCGCAAAGCAGGTTGTACAAACTTTTTTTTATTATGATTAAATATATTTCGGGTCAGATCAGCCAAATCAGTTCCCAGTCATATGGACTGAGCAGAATTCAGCCTTTCCAAAAAACAGATTGATTGAGCAGGCAGAAACTCAGTTGTTCCAAACACCACGTATGGTGCTACAACCGGCAAGCATGCTCCGTTCCAGACCCATTATCCTGGGACTTCAGATGCTCCCAAATTCATT